ACGCGTATCCATGCGATGAGAATATCAAAACACCATTTACCGTTTTTTTTAAACACTACAAATATCAATCTCGCCGGTTTACTACTTCAGAAAGTATTTCTCCTAAATTGAATATTGCAAAATAACCAGCTTTTATCTGTCATAAATACTGAAGTTTGTCGTCAGATTAGCGACCTATAGGTGACCAATCAAGGCTATGTGTTATTTGTAACAATATTTAGTGGCTTACCAAAACACACACACACACACACACACACACACACACACACACACGCACACACCCACACCCACACACCCACACACACACACACATACACCCCCCCCCCCACACACACACACATATGTTGGGCATAATGGACAACTCAGTCCCTTTAAGGTAGAGATGCAGGTTCGTGGGCACTTGGGAGTGTAATTTTTGTTTTTGCTTGTTATTATCCAAACAGTCTTGGCTATAGACTGTTAAAATTGTGTAGAATTGGGAATAGTGGAACATACTCAAAAAACGATCTTAAAATATAGATAACAGGTGCAAACATTCTCTCTTTTAAATGCTTAGCAGAATTTAGCAAGGCTGTACATATATAATAAAAAAAACATGGTGAAAAACAAGAAATGACGGGATCTCCATATTATGCACTGCATTTAATTTAAATTTGGAACTGTTATAGCCATTTCAATTATGAGCATTAGCAAACTTCTTACTAGGTGAATTGTTATGCAAATTAGCAATTATCTCAGCTTCTTTTAGTGCACATCCCAGAACATTAAAAAAATAGCTCCTAGACGTTTTGACCTTTTGTTTTGAAATGTTCACAAATGATTGACAATCTGTTTATCTTCAAAACGCCGTCGGGGCATTGTTTTTGGTGAACAGTATTTCAACAATCGTACAGACAACTAGCCTGGGTGTTAAATTATGCATAAACTTTAAGTAGTGAAATTTGAGCTGCTGCCCTGCAAAATTTACAACTGGTAGACAGTTTTTTAAGACGGCACTTTCTTCATAGTAAACAGATGTACCCATGAACCAATTTTGCAGGAAACAGAAGCATGGTTTAGAAGCTATTTTTTTAAATCACTTTTGAACAAAAAAGCACATTTTTGTGCATAATTTAACTACAATTTCCATCAAAAAAAATAACAAAATATTAAAATTCATGCAATAAGCTTTCCGAAAATATATAGTTTTGTGGAAAAGGGAGGTCATCTTGGTTTCCTAATTAACTAATTAAAATACCTGTCAGGTAAACTGCATCTCTACCTTAATCAGAAACATAATAAATGGGCTTAGAAAGAAGACACCCATAATGAAAAATAGTAGAACTACAAATGCAAGAAAAGGAAAGATGTACCCTGTATGTACGTATACAACTACGTGTATTGTAATCAGTAAAAGAATCAGGATGGGATGGTGGGTATCAAAACTACAGCCTGGAAAACGCATGCAGAGACAAGATGCATACATTAATAAACAAAAGATACGCCAACCTGTCACTTCGGGCTGCGAGGGTGCTATATCATGTGTTACCAATGACAATTAGGGCGCTGTCACATAAAAGCCAGTAAAGTCCTTTAACAATCAGTATTATCCACGAACATGGCGATCAGCGATGCCAGTGCGCCGATGGATTCATACGCAAAAATGTAATTTATGCGAGATCCAACCGTCTTAGAAGTTAACAATATTTTTTTTGCGTGGAGGTTTTCAGCCAGCCGATTTAAGGCTTGATAATTTGCGGCCACAAATATGTTAACCAAGAGTACTCAATATTACATTTTACGTGACATCCGTTATCCAATTGAGCGTTATGGCGTTAAACACTTATACGGCAACGCGCGACCATTTACCTGTTTAACATTCTGGCTTTTAAAACACTTATTGTCTACGGGGAGGTATCAATGCCAGATTTGAAATTGTGAAGGGAAATTCAGAGGGATGTAAAAGCATTCAATAAAGAGTGGACTATCCAGGGGGTATAGAGTCGGATGGAAGTTCGGTCCGCTTACTATATTTTTTGGTGATAAAGTGTCTAGTCCATTTGGGTCCATTGTGGCTAGATTCGTTTTTATGAATTTGGGTTTGAAATATATTCTCCTCTAATATTGTTACGATAGCGACTTCACGTTCGCACATTCAAGTCCCACGCTGTTAGACTGTTATTTAGAATCAACAACATGCATGTTTAGGGTGGAGAATATAAACATATATAACAGGAATAGATTGTTTACTTATTGTATTTAGTTGTGGCAACTTTGCAGGGTTTTAACCGTGAGACACATCCCTGGTAATCACGTGACCGTGTCAATGACAGCAGTGATTGGCTGATCGCAT